TCTATGTCCATTCATTAGTCAAGAACAATGGGATTGCATACCTTGCATACTATGAATAATACTGCAATAAACTTAGGAGTGCAGGTATCCTTCAAGATCATAATTTCATATCCTTGGGATATATACCCAACAGTAGGACTAATGAATCATATAGTAGTTCCATTTTTTAGTTTTTGAGGAAACACCATACTCTTTTTCCATAATGATTTATTAATTTACATTTCTTTCAGAAGTGTACAAGGATTCCCTTCACTCCACATCCTCACTAACACTTATCCTTTTTTTAATTCTTTATTGTTTAAAGTATTGTATATAGTATTACATATGTCTCCTTTTCTTCCCATTGACCTCTCCCCACCCCTCAGCACATGCCCTCATCCCTCTAGTGTCTGTGTCCATTGGTTATGCTTATATGCATGCATACAAATCCTTCGGTTTATCTCTTTCCTCCACCCCACCCTCTCCTGCCTTCCCTCTGAAGTTTGACGGTCTATCTTGAATCTTTTCAATAATAGGAACCAGTACTCTGATAGGTGTGAGGTGCTATTTTTTTGTCTAGCTTTATTGAGATATAACTAATATATAAATTGAAGATATACAACCTGCTGATTTGATACATTTATATATTGCAAAATGATTGCCACCATAACATTAGCTACCACCTTTATCACATCACATAATGGCCATTTTCTTCTTGTGGTGCAACATTTGAGATCTACACTCTTAGCAGTTTTCAAGTATATAACAGTAGTATTATTGATATTTCAAATATATTAATACACTATAGTCATCATGCTGTATATTAGATCTCCAGAGCTTGTCTTATAACTGGAAGTTTGTACCCTTTAAAAACAATCTCCCTGTTTTTCCCAGCCCCAATGGTAACTATCGAATACCATTCTTCTTTGTTGTTATGAAGTTTGGCTATTTTATTTTTCACATATAAGTGATATTATTCAGTGTTTATTTTTCTCTGACTTATTTCACTTATCATAGCCCCTTCAAAGTCTATTCATGATATCACAAGTGGCAGGATTTCCTTCTTTTTCATGGCTGAATAGCATTCCATTTTATATATACTTTTTCTTTATTTTTTGACAGAGACTTAGGTTGTTGCCATATCTTAACTATTTTGAGTAATGTTGCAATGAACATGGAACTGTAAAACTCTCTTTAAGATCTTGTTTGTAGTTCCATTGGATAAATACTGAAAATGGAATTGCTGAATCATATGGTAATTTTATTTTAAAATTTTTTAGGGACCTCCACACTGTTTTCCAGAGTGGATGCACTAATTTACATCCTCATCAACAATGCATGGGGGTTCTCATTTCTCCACAGCTTCACCAACACTTATCTCTTCTCTTTTTGATGATAGTCATTTAACAGATGTGAGATGCCATCTCATTACAGTTTTGATTTGCATTTCCCTAATGATTATTTTGAGCACCTTTTCATGTACCTGTTGGCCATTTGAATGTCTTTGGGAAAATGTTATTTGTTTTTTGGTTATATTTTGGATAAAACCCCTTATCAGATAGATGGTTTTCAAATATCTTCCCCATTTGATAGTTTGTTTTTTTGTTGTTTTTTTTTTTAATTTTTTTTAATATATTTTATTGATTTTGTACAGAGAGGAAGGGAGAGAGATAGAGAGTCAGAAACATCGATGAGAGAGAGTCATCGATCAGCTGCCTCTTGCACACCCCCTACCGGGGATGCACCCGCAACCAAGGTACATGCCCCCGACCGGAATCGAACCCGGGACCCTTCAGTCCCCAAGCCGATGCTCTATCCATTGAGCCAAACCGGTCCCGGCCCCATTTGATAGTTTGACTTTTCACTTTATTGGTTGTTTCTTTTAATATGCTTTCGATTAGAGTTATAGGCCTAAATGCAAGAGTTGATTGGGTTTTTAAATTAATAAATAAAAGTAGCTTTAAATATTTTTCAACAAATCAGCCTTAACTGGTTGGCCTGCGGACTCAAGGGTCCCAGGTTCAATTCTAGTCAAGAGCATGTACCATGGTTGCAGGCACATTCCCAGTAGAGGATATGCCGGAGGCAGCTGATCAATGTTTCTCTCTCATCAATGTTTCTAACTCTCTATTCCTCTCCCTTTCTCTCTGTAAAAAAATAAATAAACTATATATTTAAATATTTTTCAACAAATCAAAAATGAGTCTGGAAATTAAAGCTCATTGGTAGTTCTCTGGTGTGGTACTGCTTGTGGAGGGAGACGAGGGGAAAGGAGTTCCCCAAGGTCATTAACATTTTGCTTCACTTTCTTTATATAGACTTTATAAAAGTAGAGAAAAGACTGTTTGTTGCCAAAGATCTGTGAAATGGCAGATTTCAGTAGGTGAGAGACAAAACCTGAGTAACAAAGACTTGACTTCTGTCAGCCTTTGGCTTTCAGGGGTCAGGAATTCTCTGGTAGTAATTATTCACAAAGCAATTCCTAAGGCTTCATTCTTGCATTATTTTGGACAGCTGCACCAAAATTATCTCAGAAGACATAGGAAAATAAAGCAAGATTCAATCTCTGGATAATACTGGTAAGATATTCTTTCTTCTAAAACTAATCTAAAAAGTTTGTGGAAAGGGGGAAATCAATCAAATTGCTATATTTTGAAAACCTGTAATATAATTGCAAGAACCTTATTCTCATAAATAAGGGGAGAATAAAGTAATTGTGATAATAAGATAATAAAGTGCTTCTAGACATGTCTATGAAATAGGGTAGCATGGTTGTGAATAAGCAAATGGCAATAATTTCAAAGGAACATGAGGCATCATGATTGAAATGCTCAGAATGTGGAGGAAGGAATTCTTCTAGATGAGTCTTGATTTGAAGAGAAGGAAGAATTCTTCTAAGACCTTATGGTATGAACAATGGAGGCACAATTCCCAAGCTTGTGTTTACACACAAAATTTCTTCCAGATGAGAACCAAGCAGCATAATTCATGGTTGTCAAAAACTGTGATTTGAGCTCTATTAAATAGAAAGATTTTCTCAGTAGAAAATATTCTTCTTTGAAAAATTCAGCAAGAAAATCCACAGAAGAATGAACATATAAAAGCAGGGAGTAGTGTTTAAATATGAATTTGAATTTCTATTACTATTACTATTATTATTATCTTTATCATTATCACTATCACTATTACTTTTACTAGAGAAGGCACATTTGTAATGACTGTTCTACCTACTCTTATACATAGATGTGAGGAAAGCCAGCCCTGTAGTTTCCCCAAAGCTGGACATGCCAAGTACAGTTTTGCTGCAAAGGGGGAGCTGAGGGCACTGAACTTGACAGACCTTGGGATGGCATGGCCTCAGGTGGACAAAATTTCTAATGACTACCTAAGACACTGTGTAATCCATCCTAACCAATAACTAACAGAGTCATTGCATGAATATCTTGCAAGCCCCCTGAAGTCAAAACTATTACACATACCCCATCCCACACATATTCTAGCAACCTCACTAGAGTACTTGAAATTCCACCACTGAAGATTTATCTATTTAAAGTAAATATTGTCTTCTTCTTAAACCCCTTTAAAGTATATTTGAGTGAAGATCTCTTCCAGAAATACTTAATTCATGTTTATCATTATAATTCAGAATTAATAATTATGTATAAGTATATAATTATAGTGGGAGGCCTAATATAAACTAGCATAAAATTGGAAGTTTAAAAGAATGCGTGAAGAGATGCAGACAACAGTATGGTTGTAACCAGAGAGAAGGGCAGGGGGAAGGGATGCAGGGGGAGGTGCGGGGGTTGGCAAAGGGTAAGGGGAGTCAAATACATGGTGACGAAAGAACATTTGACTTTGGATGGTGGGCACACAATGCAATGTACAGATCAAGTATATAGAAATGTGAACTTGAAATCTATTATTAACCATTGTCACCCAAATGAATTTAATTTTTTAAAGATGATTTTAAAAAAAAAGGTGCATGAAAAAATTCTGTGATTAAGGGCAAAGTCCTTCCTTTATTTCTTTGTCTTTCTGTGTGCGTGTTGCTTTTTTCAAGTTAACAGACAAATGCTTAAAATACCAAGTCAAAGTAATTCCTGTGGAATCCTCAAACACTGGGTTTGAAGACAGAAATTACCTGAGACTTTACTTCCCTTCCTTTCAAATCAAACAGGTCCTGAGCTGTCTCCAGAGGGTTTTTCTGTGACTTTATTTCCTTTTATCTCTGCCTCCTTATCAGGGTTTTAAGGCTATCTTAAGCTGACAGAACATATTTAACTTTATGGTAGAAATATAGATGATAGTGAAGTGAAAACCTTTGCATTTCACAAATGGGATAACAGAAGCCCCAGGAAGCTATGTGACTTACCTGGAATTGCAGCACCATTACCTCAGAACCAGGTTTGTATAATGCTGGCCCTCTTCCTACTGGCACCACACCACTCTTCACTAGAAGAACTCGATGTCAAATAGGGGACAATAAATTCATATACACAAAAATCAGCGTTTCACAAGAACCTGTAGAAGTCAACCTTTCTCAACTACTTGAAACCCTCATTAGCTGTACTCAGGAGGGAAAATGTGGGGATATGTTTTTATTTCTGTGTCAAATATAAGACAAACTTTTTCAGATATATAATTGTTACCATATCTCCAAACACAAAAGTTGTTTCAAAATTAAGCTGACTGCCTTCTACAGAAAAGGAAGTGAGTACATGTTTTAGAAACAAGCAGGAAAAAAAAAGAAAAGAAAAAAACAACCTTAATAAAGAGTGAGGGAGGTAAGACCCTTGACTAGATGTGTGACTTAGAGGATTTGCGTTTGTTTTCTGATCTGAAGTGTGAAGGGATGGACTCTCACACTCAGGTAGGATGCTCACACTCGTTTCTTCATTTAGGCCTGCTACACAGCAGGGATGGCCATTTTTCTGTTTCCAACTACTGTGATTATTTGTTTGTTCAAGTTGGAAGAACTAACTCTGCTGGTCTCTGTTGTTTTTTCTTTCAGATAACTGCATCGTCTCTCGGGACCTTGCTCTGCTAGATGAATTCAATGGGAAAAAGGAACAATGTGACTGAATTTGTTTTCTGGGGTCTTTCTCAAAACCTAGAGGTTGAAGAAGTTTGTTTTGTGGTGTTTTCTTTCTTCTACGCAGTCATTCTCCTGGGAAACCTCCTCATCATGCTGACGGTTTACAAGGGCAGCCTTTTCAAGTTGCCGATGTATTTCTTTCTCAGCTGCCTGTCTTTTGTGGACATTTGTTACTCTTCAGTCACCGCTCCTAAGATGATTGTTGACCTGTTAGCCAAGCACAAAACTATCTCCTACGAAGGGTGCATGCTGCAACTCTTCGGGGTGCATTTCTTTGGTTGCACGGAGATCTTCATCCTCACGGTAATGGCCTATGATCGCTATGTGGCTATCTGTCAACCTCTACACTATATGACTATCATGAGCCAGGACAGATGCAGCAAAATGCTGCTGGGGGCCTGGCTAGGTGGGTTCCTACACTCCATTATCCAAGTGGCCCTGATAGTGCAACTACCCTTTTGTGGGCCCAATGAGATCGACCACTACTTTTGTGATGTCCACCCGATGCTGAAACTTGCCTGCACGGATACGTATGTGGTGAGTGTTGTTGTGACGGCCAACAGTGGTACCATTGCTCTGGGGAGTTTTGTTATCTTGCTAATCTCCTACACTGTCATCCTGGTGTCCCTGAGAAGACAGTCAGCAGATGGCAGGCGCAAAGCCCTCTCCACCTGTGGCTCCCACGTCGCCGTGGTCATCATCTTTTTTGGTCCCTGTACTTTCATGTATATGCGCCCTGATACTACCTTTTCAGAAGATAAGACGGTGGCTGTATTTTACACCATTATCACCCCCATGTTAAACCCACTGATTTATACGATGAGAAATGCAGAAGTAAAGAACGTAATGAAGAAACTATGGGGAAGTAAGGTTTTCTGGGAAGCCAATGATAAATAGTTGGAAGTAGCAATTTAAGCTGGATAATCTTAAACTTCATCATCTGTACAATAAAGACAATGATAACCTCATAGGGTTTGAGGGAGGAAAAAATAAGAGAATAACACATTCTATAAAAGTAAAGTATTGTGTATCATTATTATTATTATATTTGTTCTAATATTTCATAATCAGACAATTTTCTGAAATATTTAGACCAGAAAAATCTTATTTAAACTCAGAAGCTCACCATGATTATACTTAGCACCATTATTTTCTCCCCATTTTTGCCTTGACACTTTCTTTAAAGAATTTATTGTGAAATTCTTAAGGGTGTTTTCTAGTGTTTAGAACTGTGATTGGTGCATACAAAGCACTCACTATGTATATGTTGTATGAATGAAATGATACGTGAAAAATAACAGAGATCTAAACTAAAGTATATTTGTGTAAGTCCTCCCAAACAGAGTGAAAATTAAATCTAATAATATTAGAATGGAAGGGGGTTTGTCTGCAGAATGTAAAAAAGATAAAACAAGGGCTTAAAAAATAGAATACTTGGGCCCTGGTCAGGTAGCTCATTTGGCTAGACTCCTGCAGTGTTTCCCAAAGTGTGGTACGTGTACCCCCAGGGGTACGGGAAGAGTTTGGTGGGGGTACGCGTTGCACCGGAGTTTGGTGGGGATATGCACTGCACCGTGCTTAGCTGCGCCTAATTCTATGTTCTCATGAGTACGAGGGGTACTCAGCGTTACGAAAATTATAGAAGGGATACACATATGTCAAAAGTTTGGGAAATACAAGGCTAGAGAGTTGTCTCATTTGCCAAAGTTGCAATTCAGTCAGGGTCAGGACACATACAGGAAGCAGCCAATGAATGCATAAATAAATGGCGCAACAAATGAGTTTCTATCTCATTTCCAGCCTCTGGTCTTGGGGAAAAGCTTTTCCTTTCTCTAGGACTCATTTTCTTTACTCAAATAATACAAAAATTGGGGAAAAATTACCTCTAAGATCCCCCTTTTAGTAACATTCCATTCGTTTCTTCTGATTCTAATCTTCACTTATATTCTGTCGCCTGCTGTCCCTATTAATGTAAAGTGACTAACAGGGGAAAAAAATAAAGAAACTAAATAAAAATTATGCCATTTGTAAGAATAGGTGACTGTCAATTTGCTGAAATGCAAAATTGGGAACTGTGTTTTCTCCAAAGTTTGGACCAAATGGCTCTATTATAACCTGATTTCCAGCTATGGATTCCAGAAAGACTCTTTCTGGACAGACAAGCATGTTCTTCTTATGTGGACTGATACTTGCCCTAGTAATACATTGCTCCTTCACAGAATCAGAGCTTTATTTTTCTATAGCAAATGAACACCTCTGCAATTGTTTCATAGTATTTTCCACAAATCTGATTATTGAAGTTACTGCCTCTACCTGGGTACATGTTGATGCCTGTGAAGTGTGTATGTCTGTGTGTCTGTGTGTGTGCACGTGTGACCTTTATATAAAAGACTGTGGATAGTGCTTTAAAAAATTATCTCTGATGTCGATGCATTCATAAAATTAAATATAAAAAAAATCAAAAGGCAGTCAATCCCAATCAGAGGAGCCCAGAGTCTCCTCTTCGTTCCTTGGAAAGAGATGACCAAGAATTGTAAGAACTCAGACTCTGCACAGTTTCAGTGGGGTTGAGGCTGGTCGTCAACACCATTTTATTTCATAGAAACATGATCACAGCATTGACTGCCAGCTTTGCAGTTTTAAAATCTTATTGATACAAGATGGAAGAAGTGACTTTGATTAGAGCCTTCACTGATGAAAATAAACGACCTTTCTCAGTTTCTAGATAAATAAATTAGCTTACGCATAGTAGAAAAATTAAAGCTGTATCTCCCTGTATCTTTATGCACTGCTCAATTTAATATGTAAAGAGAACTTTGATGGCATGTCTTCATATGGCATCCCTTTGCTCATTTAAACATATTCAGGAAGTTAAAACATTTATCACATGTCAGAGTCACCAGAATGTCACCATTTATATAGTATCTGAGAGGGAAAGCCTCATTTTTTACAATCTTCTGATCTGTTCAGCTCCTGCATGGGGACCAACTGTTTTTTGGATGTTTGTTTATTTGTTTGTTTGTTTTGTGTACTTGCACCTCATCACTTTAATCAAACCTTCAAAACAGTCTTTATTCCTCATTTTTAGTATTAAAAAAAATCTGCAAGTCGAGTACACAGCATAGAGAGATACAACACCGAACTTCCATAACAGTCAATGGTAATAGAACATGTACAAAACACAGTATCTAAAATAACACTTCTATTTTCCATGTGACAATAGGAGCCACGTGGAGTACATTGGAAACTACCCTACAGTCTGCAATTAAGCCTAGTCAAGACCAACCTACATCAGCTAATCCCCAGCTTCCCCAATGACACATGAGTAAGAATTAAATGCTTGCTGAATAAGCCAGAAGTTTTGAAATGGATTGCTACATAGCATTATTGAGCTGGCTGATCCACGAATACAATCAAACTGTAGAAGTGGAAATTGGCACAAGTGGAATGAGACACATTCTTAAATTAGTAAAACCCCGAGTATATTTAGAGTTGGATATTTTGAAAGGAGCAATAGAAAAGACCAATGTAGAGGGAATGAACATGGAAGAGGGCACTTAACCCTGGATATATACATAAAGCACAAATTCCAAATACCTTGCTACATAGCCAATCTCCATCCCACTATTTTGTCCATGGAAAACACATGGGAAAAGAAGACACAATATCAACCACCCTTGGATAGATTCCTGTTCACCGCTCCTTTGTTGATAAATTATAAGAAGAGAATTAACAAAAGATTAATATGAGCCATATTCAAAAGGTCTGTCTTCTTTGGGGAAAAACCAAATAGCTAATTTGTCAGAATAAGCCAACTTAATTCATTATGTGGATGAAAAGGGGCCACATGCTAACCTGACTAGTTCAGGGAAGGTCTGTGTGGCAGCCTTGCAAACTCTAGAGACCTAAAGTAACCACAAAGGATGGTCTGAAATTAAAACTTTTTTAACTAAAAGCGGTTAATGGCAGGTAGACATGTCCTAAACAACTAAACCTGTCTGTTGTCTTTTATATCTATGATAGCATATCATTGGAATGTCAGGATAACTTGTAACTTTCCTTTTTCCAGACCCTCAGGGCACAATCAATGCACCAGGGCACCAGTAGTATAGAGACCACAAATTTCTTCCTTGTTATTGTTATCATGTTAATTGTTGACTGTTAACTATCCTGTACCTACCTATGTAAAAGAAATGTGTGTCTATCATTTTACTATTTATCCAATCCCAGAGGTTTCCCTGCTTGCTTTCTCCCATCTCCCTAATCTATCACAAGTAGATTTCATGTAACCCACTTATGTCTCCTCCTTTGATTATAATATATAAAAATAGGTGGGGGAAAAAAACATTCTACTGAACATTATCTCCATATGTTGGGATTCTGCTTCCAGCAATTATCAACAGTTTGGCTTAAATAAACTCAGAAAAATTCTTTACAGGTTTGAAAGTTTCTTATGTTAACAACTAGAGGCCCAGTGCACAAAATTCATGCATGAATAGAGTCCCTAGACCTGGCCAATGATCAGGGCCTATCAGGTTCCCATCTCCCTGCCTACTCCTTCCCGTGCTCCCTCAGTGCCCTGCTGCCATGTCTGGTCAACCACCATGTTTCACCCCACCCCCTGATAGTCAGCACAAGTCATAGCAAGTGATCAAACTCCCAGTCTTCTGGTTGAACTCCTGAGGGGACACTTTGCATATTAACCTTTTATATACATAGGTTACCATAGAATGTGGCCTAAATACACATCAATAATGGGCTTATTAAAATAAGCACCAGAATAAGACACCTGCCCATGCAGATATAGACATTTCTGTTCCAGGGGTCTTCAAACTACGGCCCGCGGGCCACATGCGGCCGGCGGAGGAGTCTGATCCGGCCCGCCAGGTTTTTTGGGCAGTGAGCGCAGCCGAGGTGTTACAGAGTAGGAATTAGTAGTTCATATAGTCCAGCCCTCCAGCTCTCTGAGGGACCGTGATCTGGCCCCCACTTTAAAAAGTTTGAGGACGCCTGATTCACCTTTCTAAATTGGATAATTCCACCAGGAGGTATTTGCCACAAGGTCAACATCAAAATTAAACCCTGACTTGATCTGCTTTTGTCTCTATCTCCTTCTCAATATACTCCATTATTTAATTATTTTTCTTCCTCCTCTTTGGCTCTAAGCTCCCCAATTTTTCAGGTAGTACACATGTCAGGGTCCTTTTGGAAAAGAGAAACTATTGTTAAAATGTTCATCAAGCCATGGCTAACCTCTGCAAATGCAATCCTCACCTGAAAACGTGGATTCCTGTTGCACAGAGGACAATAATACATTAAGTATATACAATACAATTACTTAGTGGGGACTGTGGTGAAGAGGACAAACATGAGAATATACAAGGTCTGTGTCTCTCATATTTGAAATCTTAGTGCTCCCACCTTCTAGGCTCAGTTCCTCAGGTGTACATTGTCCTAATGGATGACCCTAGTTAAAGTCAGAAGTTCATTTCAATTCACAAAGCTGAAGGATTCTTGCATGAATTAAGGAACCACATTAATGTAAAAAAAAAAAAAAAAAAAAAAAAAAAGATCTTGACCTACTCCTGTTTTCAGTTGACTATACCTGCTTCTTAATTCGATCTTCTTTATTTCTTCCTAGTATCAGGGCCTGCCTGAGTGGGAAGGAGACAGATTTGCATTGTTTTAGAAAACTTCAGCTTATTCTATTTGCATAAGGAGCACTGAGGATTAACAAAATGCACCCAGGAATATTCACCCCTTTAGCATTGGGCCTTCTTAAGCTCTAGGCCTTACAAAGGATGGAACATTTTCCATGTTGCTCATTTATAAAGAACATCAATTTGTACACTCGTGGAGAATTTTAAAAATGAGATTATAAATACAGTCATAGAATTACATCTGTAGGAGTGAAAAAAGATGTTCATCATCCCACTTGCAATTCCCGATCACAGGACTACACCGCTGATAGGGTACTAAGAGTTAATTACAATTACTTTTGGAAGTATAGTGCAAATAGTATAATTACATTGCATTGCACCATTTTAGGAGTGTGATTTGTTAATTTAAGGAGTTAAAATATACAGCAACAAGTGAAAATATTTTTATTGAAGTGGAAACTAAAAAAAAAAAAAGTGTTTAGGACCTCTGTCTATCTGTGAGAGGTGTTGCAAATTATCTGTTTCTGAAAGCAGGGCACAACTACAAAACCATGCAATCTTCACGATTTTCCCTGGTAAAAGTGCTGTCATGCTCACTATGTCTGAGATTATGAAAGGGCAGACTATTCCAAATGCCCAACATAAATTCCAGAATGTCAGAGCTGCAGAGAACCTGGAGATTGCCTGATCCACTCCGCTGAAGTCAGGCTTATATAGGTAAAGGAAGAGGAGAGTGGCTGAGGGACTTGTCTCTTCAAGCCTGCGACCTTTGACGGCAGCATACCTGCTCAGGGGACCTGCTGTATTTGTTGACATTAACAATTCTGTACATACAAAGAGGCCTGCAATGGGCTCACACACCACAGGATTCATTTCCCTTCCAGTAATTTGTCTCGGCACCACACTTTCCTCATGGCAGTCTTCATGTCCGTGTTTCTCAGCGTGTAGATGAGAGGGTTAAACATAGGGGCGATCATGGTGTAAAACAAGGCAAAGACCTTGTCGTTACTGACAGAATCGGCGATGGGGACATAGGTGAAGATGAGGGGCAAGAAGAACATGAACACGACAGTGATGTGCGAGCCACAAGTGGAGAGGGCTTTGCGGCAGCCCTCGGAGGAGGTGGAGGAGCGTGTCCTCAGGGTGGACAGGATGATGATGTAAGAAATTACCAAGGAAACAAAGGTCAGAATGGACAGCACCCCGGTGGTGGTAATGATCACAATAATCAACAGGCTCGTGTCAGTGCAGGCCAGCTTCAGCAGGGGGAATACATCACAGAAATAGTGGTCTATCTGACTGGGGCCACAGAAGGGAAGTTGGACAATAATCAACACCTGCAGGATTGAATGGATAAATGCCCCGATAACAGAGGCCATCACAAGGACACAGCACGCCTTTCTGCTCATGATGACCATGTAGTGAAGGGGTCTGCAGATGGCTACGTAGCGGTCATATGCCATGGCCACCAAGATGAAGATCTCAGTGGCGCCAAAAAAGTGTGCATAGAACATCTGGGCCATGCAGCCGTTGTAGGAGATGGTCCTTCGCTGTGCCAGTAAGTCTGAGATCAGTTTGGGGGCCACCGTGGAGGTGAAGCACACATCCATGAAGGACAGGTAGCTGAGGAAAAAGTACATGGGCTTTTCACTGAGGCAGCTGCCCCTGATGGTAACAAGAATGAGCAGGTTTCCTGAGAGAACAGCAATATAGCACAGTGAGAAGAGCACAAAGCAGGCAACCTTTGCATCCTCACCACTAAAAAGTCCCAGGAGGATAAATTCTGTGATGTTGTCCTGTCCCATGGCTTCTGTGGGTTTGACCAGATAGAGGGAGGAAGTTAATACACCTGAAACACTCAGCTTTCTGAAATTATTGACATAAAATGGTCTAGTCAATAAATATGCGTTGATCATTTATTATGATGCAATCACTATAATTGGTACTAAGGGTAAGCAGTGTACAAAATATGATCTCTATCTACAAGTAGAGTGCAGTTTATTAGGACAAATGGATGGCAACAATAAAAGAACAAATAAACAATTAATTGTAATCATGATAAATCCGAAATCCCACATGTACCATGAGCAACACAATGAATACTTAAAAGATAAAACGTCCTTTTTCTGGAAAATTTCGAGGTGCAATTTTAGTATTATACCTTAAGAGTGATTTTTAAATCTATTCTTCAAGGGCTATGAAATTACTATAATTCTGTTATTTCCAAGGACTAAATCTGTGCTAAATCCTGAAAGTTCAGTATTGTCCTTAGACTTCAGTGAGGTAATATTTTTAAATATTGGACATCTGGGTGACAATTTCAGAAAGTGCATATAGAACCTTTACACATTTTTCCAGATAAAGATCTTAAGCAAAGAAAAAGGAAAGCCTCATAGACACAGACAACAGCGTGGTGATTACCAGAGGGAAAGTGGGGTCGAGGGAGGTAGAAGAAGGTAAAGGGAGGATAAAGGGGAATGGAAGGAGATTTGACTGTGGTTGGTGAACACACAATACAATATACAGATGACACATATGTAGAATCGTTCATCTGAAACCTATATACTTTTATTAATCAATGTAAATCCAATAAATTCAATAAAAGTGTTTTTTTAAATAACCTTTTTATGAAAATATTTTGTAAGTGAAGGGAGAAAAAGAGCAACAAGCAGGTCTTTGGGGGGAAGTGTTGCTGCATTGTAGGGACTGTTAGTGCATTTACGACTTCCTGAAATTGACCTTATTTCCCAGTTCACTTTCCAGTCTTACCCAGGAGTTCTCACCATTTTTGTCCTTCAGTCACCCTTTCTGGTGCTTGCTTTTAAGACACACTCTTGGAGGAACAAAATGCATCCAGAAATCCTTTTCCACTCCATCTGCTTCCCACCCTGCAGCTCCTTGAATTGAACCACTTTTTTTTCCTTACTAGGCTTACTGCACACTCATTGGCCCAAGTCCTGGAATATTTTAGTTACAAGGAAGCATTTCTTTGGTATAAACTATTATACATCTCTTACTTCCTCTCTGCAACCTGATCTGAAATGTATCACAAAATTGCTAAACTCAAAGCTTAGCTTTACAAAAAAATTAATCCTACACATTGATTAGCCTGTTTATGAAGGGTTATAATGTTAATTGAGCAATGTCTTTTACTTCATCTGAGTTCCTATGAAATTGTTTTAGAAAAATGAACATTTGGCATACAAAGAAAATTTTAATAGGATCTTAGGGAGTTCATGGATTTTTTATTTGAATTCCATCTTCAATCCCAAGAAATACCCTGTGATCTAATTTCTTGCAAAAATCTCTGTAACTATCACAAAACTCTGATTGCAATTATCCTGAGCTGTAGTACGATTTGTTTAAAATAAACAATTAAAAGTTTTTTTTAACTGCCTATTCTAGCCTGAAAAAGATAGAATCCCTTACTTGAATATAGAATTATATTTAAGTATATAAAAGGATTGCAACTGTAAAAATATATACCAAGTTTATGGTTAAGGAATAGCAATATAAGAAGATGTCAAGTCTTTCTAAATTAACCAATATTTAAATAATTAAAACAAGAATTCTGACCAAAAAATTTGTAAAATTTGAAAAGTTGGTTCCAATACTCAGAAACAGTTCATATCCAGAAGAGATAAGCTAACTTTTTAAAGGAAGACAGAAGAAGGTAGACATCCATTCTCAGAACAGAAATATATTATCAAGCTATGGCAACAAAAGAGTTGTTGGTAAAGACACAACAGTGCACTTAAAGGCAGTCAATAAATAAACACATAAATATACTGAAATTTATTCCATGTTTAAGTTAAGATTTCAAACTGATATGAAATAATGGACTTATTCGTAACTGATGTTAGGACTTTAAATCTCCTTATAAAAGAAACCAATATATTCCTCAGAAGGCACAAAAAAATTATGTTCTAGATGGCTGAAAATGCAAATGTATAAAATAAAATGAGAAAAAAATTAAGAAGATTTTAGAATGGGTTTATATCTTAAGTAAAAACATTTCTTTAAGCAAAGCAAAAAGGCAAATTTGTAAAATATATATAATACATCTAAAATTTCTGTATGACAAATTCCATTTGAATCAAAAAGTTTAAAAGTGGCAAAATGAGGGTATTTATGTATCTTGCAAATCTATAGAAGTAAGTAACCTGTTTTTCTAGAACAGCAAAACCTTTGACTAAGCAATATACAGAAAGGAAATTCCAACTGGCCAAAAGCATATATAAAAATATTTAGGGAAATGCAAATAAAACAGTAATAAATTACTATTCTCACTCATCAACTTCATAACAGTACAGTATTAAGTTTGTTCATATAAAACTTTATGAACAATTGAGCAAAACTATCCAGAAAATATTCAGAACTGTGTTTATTGCAGACTCATTTAAATTTAGAAGATAGAAGTGATCTAAATACCTGACAATAGAAATAAATAAAATGTGGTATGTTCTTGTTATAGAAAAGTATACAGAAATTTAAACATTGGCTCCATATGACACATCTACCATGATACAAATCACTGAGATCTATTTTGAGGGTAAAAACAGATTTAGTCACAGGAAAGAACTGAAAATTATAGTGCCCTCATCACCCTGAGGAACAGATGACCTCAGTGCTATTTTATAGATACATAGATATCTATTTTGTCTCCAGGAAATAAGAATGTTAGTATTCATGGATTCTTCCAGCTGCAAATAACTAATACTTTTAAAACAAGTGATTTACTAAATTATGTATTCATTAATTTGTCAAAGTTATCAATTAATTTTTCATATTCTTAGAGTATTTATTATTTTTATTATTGCTGTCTTCATAAATTATGTGGTCACTTTTTCAAACTTTTATAGTTTTGTATCATTGCTTTTCTATCTGAAGTAGAATACAAAACACCACTATTTCTCACAGCCTCCTGTAGTAGCATCTAACAATCTCAAGTTTCAAGCCAGATTTCAAGAGAGCATGCCCCTTGTTCATTTCCTGTTAAAATAGACCTCTTAAAATTATTTTCTAAACTATTAAAATGCCAATTTTGACAAGAATTAGGAGCCCATAAAAGTTATAAAAAAAATAGTTACCAAGGAGACACATTTTTAGAACACATACTAGTATTTATAGAAAATATAATTTCCTAAGAAAAAAAGCAGATAAGGACAGATTATTCCATAGCTACTCAAAGAACTAACTTTACATAGACTCAGGCATGCAAAAGCAAAATAAGGGGTCGGGGGGAAGATGAAAAGGAAAAGAAAAAATAGGAACTCACATATGGAACATCAGTTAATTCCAGTCAATCTCTGAAGGGAAATGCTTGTCTTCTTGAACTCATGACAACAGATTTAAAAAAAAAAAAAAATCTATTCTAAACTCTTATGGGAGAAAAGCAATGAAAAGTCTCATGCTTTGTATCCAATTTTCAAATTATATTTAAAATAAATATATTTTGAAAATTAACTTTCTGTATACACATAAAAGGAATGAGCATTATATCACAAACTGCAGGGGAAACACCCAAAGCTCTCATCTTTTTTCCCTTCAACACAGTAATGAGCAGCAAGGTCCAGCTCCCTGAGTGCACCTGAGGAAGCTGCAGTGAGGAGTATTTAAGGGCATGTGAGGACCTGAGTGCCATCTCACAGGCAATCCCCATGGTGATTCTTGGACAGGACCAGTAAAAATAAACTGGTGATTTTAATTTGCTCTTGCTTCGACTTTTCAAGTGTGCTGTCAAATAAATCCTTTTAAATTGCTTCAAATATGTGATGTTAAATATTAAATGTAAGTTTTATGGTAAGTGACCAAATGATCTTAAAAGTAGCTTTATTACTCTCTATGCAGGAATAAACCCAAATACATTTATTATATTTCGTAAAAGCTTCCCTCTGCTTCCATGTCCAAGACTAATATTTATTAACTAGAAGCCCAGTGTATAAAAATTCATGCACTGAGTGGGTGGTCCCTCAGCCCAGCCTTCGCCCTCACACAGTCCGGGAGTCCTCAGGGGATGTCCTACTGATGGCTTAAGTCCACTCCCACAGTCTGGCCTCCCTCTGTGAGGAGGTGAGGACAGGGAATCAGGGGACAGTGCCAACCCCTATCACCCCACCGTTGCCACCTTGCCTCCATCAGCGAGAAGCGACTGGCGTGGCAGATCACGGAACAGTGATACCACACACACACACCCCCCATTGCCTCTGCCACCTCTGGTCGCTGCCCCCCCTCATCTCCGTTCCCTCCCTCTGCCACTGGCACACACCGCCCATTCGCCAGCCCCCTCACTCCTATCCCACCCTTCCCCCCCCCAATCCCCCAACCCCCCCACCCCTCCCCCTCCCCCCCACTCCCCCCCCCACCCTCCAACTGGTCTTTCTGCCATTCGGTTGATTTGCATATTATGCTTTTATTATATAGGATGTTGATGGTGTTCAGCTTTTTCTTAGCATACTTAAGGTCAGACTTAAATGTCCCTCTTTCCACAAAGTCTTTCCTCATTATGTTGTCTTTCCTATAACCAAATTGCATACCCCAAGTTGTCCCATCACACTCCCAGTACCTAAATGACTCTGCTTTCTATTTTCACAGCTTTCCACTCCTACACAGAGAAATTGTTACCTTTTTCTCATGCTAAAGAAGTTCTAAAGTTCCTGGTATGATAAACTTTAACACAGATTTAGTAACCTTAATATAATTTAGTAATTTATAAATAGAAGCTCCAAATTTAAAAGTCATGCTGACTTTTCTATATAGATAAAAATGCAAATAAGAAAACATTAAAATCAGATTCTTAGTGATC